GCCCAGCTGATTTTTTGTATTTTTAGTAGAGACGGGGTTTCACCATGTTGACCAGGATGGTCTCAATCTCTTGACCTCGTGATCCACCCGCCTCGGCCTCCCAAAGTACTGGGATTACAGGCGTGAGCCACCGCGCCCGGCCTAATCATATTCATTTCTAAGCTATCACACTCAAGAATAATAGTACAGATCTGTGGAATATGCCAGTATCTACAGTAAAAGAGAAATTATTAGGTCTTTCATATTTTTAGCAACTGTCTTATAGTTCTTTCCCACAAATCTAACAAAGAGTCCTGTGAGTAAAGCAAAACCACAGTAACTTTATGAGGAGTTTACAACGACATGCAGCTATAGGAAAATCTCCATTGAGATAGACCTCAACCAATAGTAATATTATTTATAATAGTAAAAATCTGGAAACAACCTCAATTTTCATCATATAGTAATCATAAATGTATGTAGTATAGTCCCTACAATAAAAAAAAATTCAGAAATGAAAATGAACGAACTGGCAGGGCACGGTGACTCATGCCTGTAATCCAAGCACTTTGGGAGGCCAAGGCGGGTGGATCACAAGGTCAGGAGTTCAAGATCAACCTAACCAATACAGTGAAAACCCGTCTTAAAAAAAAAAAAAAAAGAAAATGAACAAACTAATAAGACATCTGTGAAAAACTAAATTTGCCATCTTTCAACATGGTTAATTCTCAGAAACATGATGTTAAGTGAAACACACACACACACACACACACACACAAACAAAAAAAAACAAAAAAAAACAGAAAAAAGCATGTAGGCCGGGCATGGTGGCTCATGCATGTAATCTCAACACTGTTGAGAGGTTGAGGAGGGATGATCCCTTGAACTCAAGAGTTTGAGACCAGCCTGGGAAACACAGGGAGATCCCATCTCAAGAAAAAAAGAGGTATATGTATTATTTCTATAAAATTTTAAAATATTTGAAGCACAACTATATATTGTTTATAGATTAAAAAGTAAGAAAAGTATTAAAATATTCACAGAAAAAATATAGAAATTTTAAACCCTGAATTCCTCATGGTGTCTACAAAGGAAGGGTGAGGACTAAGCTCAGGGTAAGGGATTCAGGGGCCACAACTATATCTGTAAGTGTTGTTTCTTTAAAAACAAAATCTCTATTTGGGGAAAGAGAAAGAAAAAAAATAAAATCTGAATTAATATGGCACTACACAGCACGATTGTAATAGATGATGAAGTTGGGTGTTGAATACCTGAGTATTCATTATAATATTTTATCTTTTGTATTTTTAAAATACTTTATAAAAAAATTAATAATTAAAAAACAGGCCAGGGCAGTAGCTCACACCTGTAATCCCAGCACTTTGGGAGACCAACGTGGGTGGATCACCTGAGGTCAGGAGTTTGAGACCAGTCTGGCCAACATGGTGAAACCCTGTCTCTACTAAATATACAAATATGAGGTGGGTGTGATGGTGGGTGCCTGTAATCCCAGCTACTTGGAAGGCCAAGGCAGGGAGAATTGTTTGAACCCGGAGGAGGGGGTTGCAGCAAGCCGAGATCGTGCCACTATACTCCAGTCTGGGCAACAGAGCAAGACTCTGTCTCAAAAAACAAACAACAATAACAACAACAACCACAACAAAAAAACCAAGGCAAGGGTGTGGTGGCTCGAAACTGTAATCCCAGCACTTTGGGAGGCCAAGGCAGCCAAATCATTTGAGCCCGGGTGTTTGAGACTAGCCTGGGCAACATGGTGAAACCAGTCCCTATTATAAAAAAAAAATTACCATGTGGCCGTTGAAACAAAATTAATTACAACTACATTTGTTAACCTGGATGTATTTCAAAAGCAATGTTACGTGAAAAAAAAAGTTGCAGTATGGTATATACATTATGATGCTATTTATGATGCTATCTCTTTCAGTTTTAAAATAAAATGACATTCTATATTATTTATGGATTTATACTTACATGGAGACTTACATGGTAAAAATATTTTTCTTTCTTTTTTTATTTTTGAGACAGGGCCTCTAACTGTCACCCAGGCTGGAGTGTAGTGGGCATGATCATAGCTCACTGTAGCCTCGACCACCTGGGCTCAAGCGGTCCTCCCACCTCAGCCTCCTGGAGCAGTTGGGACTACAGGTACGTACCACCATGCTTGGCTATTTTTTTNAAAACATCGAAATAGAGACAGAGTCTCGCTATGTTGTCCAGGCTAGTCTTGAACTCCTGGGCTCAGGGGATGCTCCCACCTCAGCCTCCCAAAGTACTGGGATTACAGGCGTGAGCCACCGCGCCCGGCCTTCTTTTTATTTTTTTAAATTAATTTATTTATTTTTGAGACAGTGTCTCCCTCTGTCGCCTAGGCTGGAGTACAATGGCATGATCTTGGCTCACTGCAACCTCTGCCTCCTGGACTCAAGTGATTCTTATGCCTCAGCCTCCTGAGTAGCTGAGACAACAGGCGCCCACCACCATGCCTGACTAATTTTTGTGTTTATAGTAGAGACGAGGTTTCACCATGTTGGCCAGGTGCTAATTTTATTTTTATTTTGGGTTCTCAGAGATGAGGTAAAGGAAAAAAAATAAAGGCTGGGTGCGGTGGCTTACGCCTGTAATCCCAGCACTTTGGGAGGCTGAGATGGGTGGATCAGCTGAGGTCAGGAGTTCGAGACCAGCCTGGTCAACATGGTGACACCCCATCTCTAAAAAAAAAGAAAATAAAAAATTTTATTTTTATTTTTGTATAGACAGGGGTCTCATCATGTTGCCTAGGCTGGTCTCAAACTCTTAGGCTCGAGGGATTCTCCCACCTCAGCCTCCCAAAGTGCTGGGGTTAAAGGCATGAGTCATGTGCCCAGCCCTCTTTTGTTGTTGTTGTTGGTTTGTTTTGTTGTCTTAAAAATTTTTTTTTTAATGATTGCAAAAGAGTTAGGGCTATATGAATAAACTTATTCCCTATAAAAAGATTTCCAAATTAAAGGGCACAACACATACCAAGATTCAAATCGTTTTTCCTCTGAGAAGCAAGGGAAATGAATAAGATTGTGGAGGGATGCAAAAGAGATTTCCAAATATTTACATTGGTTAAATCTGGGTATTGATTATATGGGTGTTTATTACATTATCTTTTATGCTTCTTGGTATGTTTGAGATTGTTCTTATTTTTAAATAAATTAACCCTTCCATTCTGCGTGGAATTTTTCTTTGGTGGTAATGCAAGTAACCATGTAAGTGTATCCCATCATTTTGGCATAAAAAGGGAAGGCCGGGCGCGGTGGCTCACGCTTGTAACCCCAGCACTTTGGGAGGCTGAGGTGGGTGGATCACCAGGTGAGGAATTCAAGAACAGTCTGACCAACGTGGTAAAACCTCATCTCTACTAAAAATACAAAAATTAGCCAGACTTGGTGGCACACTCCTGTAATCCCAGCTACTGGGGCTGAGGCTGGAGAATCACTTGAACTCAGAAGGCAGAGGTTGCAGTGAACCGAGATTGCCCCATCGCACTCTAGCCTGGTTGACAGAGCGAGACTTGGTCTCAAAGGAAAAAAAAAAGAGAAAAGATGTCCTCTATCAATCTGTCATTTCCTTTTGTTCTGGTATACCCATTACTGCACCCATTTTTTTAAAATGACTGATTTGATATCATTAATTACAAACTATTCCCAGAATGCTAATGCACCCATTATTTCTGTGGGTGTGAAACTGCATTGCTGTCTTGGGAGAACAATGGGGTACTCAGGCACAGGCATTTAAGAGAATAAGCCCAATAGTTGATTCCACTACACTCGGGCCCTAGATGTTCCCCACGAAGGCTGAGGTGGGTGGATCACTTGAGGTCAGGAGTTTAAGACCACCCTAGCCAACATGCTAAAACCCCATCTCCACTAAAAATACAAAAATTAGCCAGGCCTGATGGCATGTACCCGTAATCCCAGCTACTTGAGAGGCTGAGGCAAGAGGATCGCTTGAACTCGAGAGGCAGAGATTACAGTGATCGCACCACTGCACTCCAGCCTGGGCAACAGAGCAAGACTCCATCCCAAAACAAAACAAAACAAAACAAAACAAAA